TCTGATTGGATCAGATGGTTCTCAGCGCCATTTTATTGTTCAGACATCTTTAACACCAAATGCTAGAAGTGATGAACGGATCTTACAGCTTTTCCGTGTGATGAATCGGATGTTTGACAAGCACAAGGAATCACGACGGCGGCACATCTGCATTCACACTCCTATTATTATACCCGTGTGGTCTCAGGTAATTACTAAACCCATCTTTACCTCATAAAATAGTGTTACATTATCCGGTTTTTGCTCTATTGGCAGAAATAGGAAGCCACTTTTTGAGGCAGCCATGTTTTATTCGGTTGTAACATAATTGCGGTAGTGATCCAAATTGCATTGTTCACTGAAATTGTATTGAACTCCATGTGAATTCATGTAATAGGTTCGCATGGTAGAGGATGATCTGATGTACAGCACTTTCCTTGAGGTTTATGAGAACCATTGTGCTAGAAATGACCGAGAAGCGGACTTACCGATCACATTTTTCAAGGAGCAACTCAACCAAGCAATATCTGGCCAGATTTCACCAGATGCTGTTGTTGATCTCCGTCTTCAAGCATATAATGAGATAACAAAAAGTTTTGTCACGGACAGCATCTTCTCACAGTATATGTACAAAACTCTATTGAGTGGCAATCACATGTGGGCTTTCAAAAAGCAGTTTGCTATCCAGTTGGCTCTTTCTAGTTTTATGTCTTTTATGCTACAAATTGGTGGAAGGTCTCCAAACAAGATATTATTTGCTAAAAACACTGGAAAAATCTTTCAGACTGATTTCCATCCTGCATATGATTCAAATGGAATGATTGAATTTAATGAACCGGTGCCCTTCCGCTTGACTAGAAATTTGCAAGCATTTTTCTCTCATTTTGGAGTAGAAGGTTTAGTTGTTTCTGCCATGTGTGCAGCTGCGCAGGCTGTGGTCTCCCCTAAGGTAAGATTTACTTCTAATATACATCTTATTTTCTACTTTGTTTAATTCCTCAATGCTGATGGCTTCACTTAAATTCCAATGTGCAGCAAAGCCAGCACTTATGGTATCATCTGGCTATGTTTTTTCGAGATGAGCTGTTATCTTGGTCTTGGAGAAGACCTCTTGGGATGCCTCTGGCCCCTGTTGTAGGAGCAGGTAGTCTGAACCCCGTGGACTTCAAACAAAAAGTCACTACAAATGTTGAGAATGTCATTGGACGGATCAATGGAATAGCCCCACAGTACATCTCTGAAGAGGTATTCACTTTTTTTCCCTTCCCTTTTTGGTGCTATTTATATAAATTTTCAAAATTCCTCACCTAGTAATGGTACTACCACTTTCCGATTCAATAAAGTTGGCGCAGTTGCTATCTCCTGTGTAGTTCAGCATGAATTATATGTTCCCGCATACCTGTATGACTGAAATTACAGGCTTTAGATAAGTTAATATTTACTTAATATCTATTTAAAATGCCTACATTGTGACATTGTGGTGTTTTGGCTTCTACTTGTATAGGAGGAGAATGGCATGGATCCGCCACAATCTCTGCAGAGGGGTGTAGCGGAGTTAGTTGAAGCTGCCCTTACTCCAAGGAACTTGTGCATGATGGATCCAACATGGCACCCTTGGTTCTGATTTTTTTTAAAAAAAAAATCTAATACGAAGTTTTAGGTGTCTAGTAGTAATCTAACATTAAGTACAGACTGTATATAGTCTCTTATTTACCTTTAGGGGATGCAAGCAAAGATAATGCTGTAAATATTATTGCCGTGTATATAAATGATATCTTTTTCAGCTAGGCACTTATTATTTAGAGGAAAATTTCCTTAGTCAGCAACAGCGGAATTAGTTAAGCTCATAATGCAGCGAATGTATCATCCTTCTGAGCTACTTCTGATACTATTAAAGAAGTTTTATTATTGCAACAGCTTGTAAATATATCAGCCTTTTGATTTATATTACCGTGATCGTTCTAGCTAAAGTAGCAAAAACAACCGAATTATTTGACATAATGCTCAAGCCAGGTGCTTAATCAATAGAGGGGCTCTCAGTAGTGCATTCTTAAGATAATTGACGAAGGTCCAACATCAGGAAGGTCACGATTGAATGTCGAGAGAGGATTTGTCGGTTTACACATGTAAATGCGCAGAACATTAAGGAAAACAATAATGGAGTTCAAATGAAGTGTGCAAGTAAATTTTGATTTGTATGAGAACTGAATTTGAAGCCAATTGGTTGTTATGAGGTTGGAAATGAATCTTGGTTGTTCTGTATGCTTTCTTATCTACTTTCGATAAAATACTAGGTTCGCTTGAACTGATTAATAGTGGTACGATATAATGCTTTTGCTAGTGGTCATCCCTTAGCTATCCCATAAATTTGCCCTTCTTTATTTTCGTTGATCAGAATGTGCATGATAAGTTTTGTTACTGATTCTTCCAGTCGCTGCTCCTTTTAGGACCTTAACTTTTTTTTGAGTTTAATAATTGTTTGGTTGATCTGGACACGGCACAATATTCTGATCTACTTTAACTAATTGGTGTGCTCGAGAGGGGTTCCATGTCTTTTAGTTTTCCTTGGGGTAAAAAACTCCAATATGGCAAAAACTGAACCAAAAAAAATAAAAATATTTAATGAACAAATTTATCTGGACTTGGATAAGCATGGAATTGAAAAGAGATGATTTTGAATTAATTCAATATGGCAGCATACTTTCTATGGTCCAAATCAGATATGAACCAAAAGAATAATATAGCAACAGTAATACAAAAACTAAAAAGACAAAAAACCAAAAACAGCAACAAAAAGCTAACAATCTTCTCTTCATTCATTTTCCTCAGGGAAACGAAGATGCTTCCCTTTTGGAGTTGGCAATCCTTTCAAATGCAAGACACCTGGCGAAGCAGCAGAATCCTCCTCTTCAACTCCTTCAATCTCATCTTCACTGTTGTACACAAAACGAGTGTGCTTTCCCTCAAATTTTGCATTCACGTTAATCTTGCTAATTGCTTCACACAGTTCATCAACTAAATCTCCATCTTCTTCATTTTCATCATAGTTATCATCATCATATTCTTCTTCTTCTTCTTCAAGTCCTCCTTCTTCCTCATCTTCTTCATCATCTTTAGTACTTGCATTCACTTGAATTGACCATATAGATGAATTGTCGTCATTCTCTTTACTTTCAGCCTCACCTCCTTGGTATGACACCACAGAGGAACACACTGATGATTCTTCTGATTTTTCAGAAAAATCAAGTAGCAGAGATCTTGTTATGTAACTCTTCTCAGTTTCAAGACTCCCCCGCTTTTCCTCCTCAAACATCTCATTCATTATCTGTAACATAAAATATTAACAAAAATCAAATCTCTAAAATACATAATCAAGAGAGAATCTTTCATGAAAAAATTGATATGGGCAATGAAATATACACCTGAGAAATGGCAAACTTGTCCTCGACAGGGGAAGCGGTAACAACAGGCAACTCATTGACAGAGAGATCCATAAGAGGAGTGTTTGCCGGAGTTGGGGCAAGAAAACCCATAGGAGAATTGACAATGCCTTTGAGATGAAGAAAAGGCCCATTTTGCAATGAAATTTTCGAGATCACGGCTTGTTCTTCAACTTTTTGCAACAAAGTCTTAACTTGGCCCCTCAACAAAGCTTCCCCAGATCCAGGAGTAGTGCAGTGTTTGGCTTGGACATTAGTTCTTTTCTTGGACATCTCAGAAGATGGGGTCTCCAAATTTCCCATAGCTAAGCCAACAATGGGGGAATCATTTGTTATGTCAATCAATGCTGATTGTTTCCCAGTTCTTTGTCTTGATTGTGTAACTGCTTTCTTATCAGATTCTTCAATTTTCTCTGAACAAGAAAAGAGCAATAGAGAAATGAATTTTTGGAAAAGAGAAAATCAGATGAATAGTTTAGAAATGAAAGGGTAATTAGAAACTTACTTGACAGAGGGATCTTGTTAGCACTGTTAGCAGTAGCCAAGGCTTGTGATCTTGTCACTCTTCTTGTTGTTGATGATGGAGTCTCCATTGATGAATCAAGAAAATTTGCAGTAAGTTTGATTTTGGGTCACTGGTTACTATTAAGAAGATCGAAAACTGCAGAGAGAAGAAACAGACAGAAAGAGTAACGCAATGAGATGATGAGATTTGGGCAAAGGGGAAGATGACTTTATAGTTGTGGAAATAAGGTTTGGGGACGGGCAAAAATAAAGTGACCGTTAGAGCGTTCTGTAGGCGGCGTGTTAGCAAACTAGCCGTTAGGATTTGAAACATGGGCTTGGGCTTCTTTGGTGCGTTTTGAGCCCATGCGGCCTATGTCTGGGCTAGTTCGAGGGGTATCAGCGCACTTTCAAAAGTTCCTCATTGGCCTGTTTTGTTAGTGAGATGAAAACGTAAAAATGGCGCCGAATGGCTAGTTTTTGGACCACTTGTTAATATTTAGTCAACTTAAAAATATAATTGTGAAATTATTAATTTTTATGTAAAAATAAAATTTGAACTAAAATATCCTAGCTAGAAGGAGGAGGCGATGGTAACAAAGGTCGTTGCGTAAAAGGGGAAGTGGTGGTGGAACAAGAAACGAGAGGAGGGGTAAAGTGGAGTTGGGGCGATGAGATGACATTCCGACTATGACGTCCACCTCATCAGAATGTTAGGCCACCTAGGATGTTGTTTTCATGGTGGATAACCTTAATGGAGGAAGGTATTTTTGCACTAGTTTTCGTTGGAGGTTTTGGTGAATCAAAAATATACTTGGGACATAAAAGATCCTTTTTCATTTAGTGAAAGAGCATTTCTGGTCATTTTTTTAATTATTTAACTCGAATAATTCAGTATTTCAAAACAGGTTGCCGTTCATAAAAAATAATTTTATAATTAATTTAACAATTTTGAAAGCCAACTTATAAGACTTGATTTGGGACAAAGGGTAGTCATTAATGATTCTTCCTTCAGCAATGATATTGGTCACTAAAGGTAAAAACTTACCCCAATTCAATATTGTTACTAAATAAATAAAGGCACTGATAAACCCATCAGTAAACTAACTTGTCTTCACTAAACCTTACTGTGTAGTCAATTTGTTGGGCATATAGTAGTTTAATCGATGTAATTGACTAGCATACTTAGGTGTCAGAATATAATTAATTCAATACTTATGTGATCTCTTCAACTTGTCCTAAGGTTGAAGGTTGAAGGTTGAGTAGGTGACATTATTATACTGAAGGGTCATAATAGATTCAACCCAGGATAACCCGTCAACCATTTTTTGACTTTTTGGTTAAAATCCTAACCAACAAGTTGTTTTCAACCCATTATCTGAATGTCTAAATTAAGGGGAAGTTACATTGTATACCCCTTTCAAGAACCCTTAACACACTATGCTTCAATAATAAAATTACATGTAATACATATCAATTAATTACCCTACATACCTATTTAGTTATGTCACGACCCAATTCCCTGAATCCGGTCGTGATGGCGCCTCTCGTGAAGACAAGGTCAGCCAGACCAAAACAGACCACCTCTTTTAAACAGTTAAATACCATAAGTAGTTTTAAAACGTGATATAATAACCATAATTTGCGGAATTAACGATAACAACAGTAGAAACCATCCCGACACAGCCCAAACCGGGGTGTCACAGTCATGAGCAACTAATAGTTCCGGATACCAGTCTACTAGATACGAAGTCCGTTACAGAAGTTCAAGAACATGAAAATAGTAAGATAAGGGAGGCACGGGGGCTGCAGACGCCAACAACTACCTCGTAGTCTCCGAAAACACTGCCTGGACTGGGAGGATCAACACTCAGGAGCGGACTCTGCGACGCCTGAATCTGCACCACGGTGCAGGGAGTAATGTGAGTACTCCGACTCAGTGAGTAATAATCATAAATAATGGCTGAAAGCAAGAAAACACGTAAAGGCACAAAGCAATTCTATATCAAGCAGTAAAATCACTTAAGGCAGTAAATCCATGAAGAAATCAAAGGAAGTTCCTTTAAACCAAGTAAAATAGGTAATTTAGCAGGTGAATAACAAGTAGAAATCCGCCCCTCGGGCACAGTAACAATCACTCAGAACAGTATCAGCCCCTCGGGCTCACTCTCGGTACAATATCAGCCCCTCGGGCTCACTCTCAGTACAGTATCAGCCCCTCGGGCTCACTCTCAAATCATGATGAGTACCCGTGCTCACTGTGGGGGTGTAGACTCCGGAGGGGCCCCTTACGGCCCAAGCACAATATCAAGCCATCTCGTGGCAATAACAAGTATCTCAGGCCCTCGGCCTCATATCACTCAGCATATCCTCACATATGGCCCTCGGCCTCA